AAGGGAACTTCCTTATGTTCCTGCCTGTTGTATCTTAGGATGATGCCAGACAGGGTCCAACCCTCTGCAGTGGGAGAAGGGGAGGAAAGGCGAGCACCCTTCACAGGGGGAGGGATGTGGCAGGCCATCCTAGCCTATGCCACTGGGCACCCCCTAGGCTGGTCCTGTGCTGGCCAAGCACTCTTCTGATTAGGATCTGGCTTCCCTTGTAGGTTGACTGCAAGAATAAATGTCCTGCTGATGCTATTCTGAGTTAGTGGGAGGCTGCCTCTGTGACCAGACGGCCCTGGCACAGACAAGAGGGAGTCTTAGGGCCTCAAAGAAGGGAGACAGACCCAGCCGGACTTCCATTTATGACACCTCTATCATGGCCAACTTCTCACTCATGGTCACGTCTATGGGATGTAGAACACAGGGAAACTTGGCAAGTACAGGGGCTCTGGGCCCCAGGTTGGGGTCTGGGGACCCAGTGAAGGGAATGTGAACAGGAGGAGAGAAGCAATAAGACTGGCAAGGGCAAGGCGAGGCAGACCCAAGCTTCCAATTCAAATGCCATTCAGAGTCAGCCTGGCACATGCAGTGGGGTCAGACAGGCAGCGGGACTGACAGCCAGGGCAACATAGCACTCGAAAGAACTGAAGAGTCCCTAATAATCTACCTGCTGGTGTTAGAATCATCAGAGATGCTTAAAAAAAATTACGGATGGTGAAAGGGGCAGACCTAGAGACATTGATTTCACTGGTGTGGAATTTGGCCTGGACACTGTATCTTTAAAATAAATTCCTCAAGTACTTCTAACGTAATTTCCTTCAAGGGTTGAAAACTGGCCTAGACGGTGGTTCTTAATATATTTCTGGAGGCATGGGAGGCTGAAAAGGCATCTAGGAAGTTGTTTTTCCCTTGTCCATGCCTCCCTCTCTATTAACATCTTAGTGAAGGGATTATGCCTTTATTTTAAAAAGCCTGGCTCTGATATTCCCAACTGGCCATGCAGAGCTATTGGTGGGGTGGAGCCCAGAGCCTGCATTAGCATTCTTTATTATGTAACAGTAGATACACACGAAAGAATAAATGCAATTTATAAGTTTAGCAGACTAATAAAAGACCCCATGACCCAACTGAAATCCTAGACCTTTATAAACACAGTTGGTGTTACTGGTTCTCCCTTCTCCCCTCCTCTGCTGCCTCCCCAGAGGACACAACCTCCCTCTTTAATGGGGTCTATTATTAACAAGCAGGTGGTCCTGTCAACCTCCGGAAACTCCGGGTTTGGGCTTGGGGTGGGCGGGGCCTGCAGGTTGGGAGGCTGTAGGGGTGGTGGTGGGGGAGGATCAAGTGACCTGCTGTGATGGGATGCAGGGCCAGGGGAGCCAGGCAGAGCCTGCCACAGCCTCTGAAAGCAGGCAAAGCATTTGTTAAAGAAGCTGTTAGAGCAATCCCTTTAGACCGAATACAATGGAGACCCAGATGCTCTCAGAAAAGCCAGGCTCTCAGCTGTTTTGTTTTCTCAGCCCAGGCTGCTGCTGCCAAATTGACAAGCATGCCATAGCTTAGGGGGTGCAGAGTTCAAGACCCTGCAGATCTGTCAGACAAGAGCAAAAAGATGCAACTTGATCTCTTTCCCTCTAGGCTAATCATTTGGTTGATCTTTTCCTTGGGATTATTATTCTATTATAAACCCAGATGCTTAAAGCAAATCGACTGCTGCCTTCCTTACACATACAAAGTAGGTCAGTGTTGGCTATTAGGGTGCACAGCCTTTGCAGAGTGCCAGAGGCCGTGTGAATAATTAAATCCACACATCCCTGGGGGCAGCAATGCAACAGGAGAGCATTTTTTCTCCCCAGGAGATTGTCAGGAACCAGGCGAAAGAGGAGGCCGAAGTACCCAGCTGCAGGAGCACCTGCTTGAAGGGGAAGTCAGGAGTGGAGGGGTTGAGGTGCCAGGGCCAGAAACCAGATCTTATGGGGTAAGGGACCTGAAGCAGGCCTCTGAGCAGGGTCCACTGAAGGGATGCATCTGTGAGGCCTGGGTCAGGGGCCACATTAGGAAGAAACACTATATGAGGTCTGGGGCACAAGGATATCAGGGTCCCATATTGCTTAGGGGGTGGATATAACAAAGGGTCAGGCCAGAGTGGCTTGGGGGTCTATGGGTGTCTGAACCCCACAACTAGGGTGCCTGAGCTGGCCTACACCTGCAGGAATGGGAGGCCTGGGGCCTTTAGTCACACAGGGGCTTCACGTGCTCTCCAGAGGCAACTGCTCCCACAGATGAGAAGCCTGAAAAAGATGAAGAGTTACTCCCTACCTTGCCCACAGGTGCACATGCAGAGGTTTTCATCCGCTATGAAGAGCTGAAGGTTCTCAGGGGAAAACCCACCACTCCTGGCTAACGAGGCCCTGGCAGACAACAGTATGGAAAATAAGACAAAGAAGTTCCAGCCTGCCCTCCAAAAGGCTGTTGACAGTGTGGTGACAGTGTGGCATCCGGCCCTGGACTGTAGGGACAGAAAGCTACAGTTTGTGGTACAAGGCCTGAGCATACTCCAGAGTGGACCACAGTGTGGACCGGTGTGGTTGTCAGAGTTATGCTGATGTAAATACTGGGGCCTCTCTTGCATTACTGCTGGGAGTATGTATTGTTACAACCAGTTAAAAAAAAATGATTTGGAAGACTCTCCTAAAGCTGAGCATGTGTGTACCTTATGACCCAGCAGTTCCACTTCAGAAATATGCCCAACAGCAATGTGCATACCCATGTTTGCCAAAAGACACGTACAAGAATGTTCATAGCAATAGTGTCTGGTGACCATCCAATGCCCATTGATAGCAGAATGGATTAAATACTAGGTGGTATATCATGTCAGTGGAATCCTGAAAAGCCATAAAAGTGAAGGAAATACTACATGCAACAACATAGATGGATTTCACAAAAACAATTTTGAGCAAAGGATTGCATTTACATGGAGTAAATAGAACCAGTCTATTGTGAATATACCATAAACCAATGACTTCTACATTTTAAATAGGTGAATTGTATGGTATGTGAGTTATATCTCAATTAAGCTATTTTAAAAAAACTATGGTATTAGAAATCAGAATGGTTGGTGAGGAGTAGGGACTGGAAGGGGGCACAAGGGGGGGGCTTCAGGTGCTGGACTGTCTGGTTTCTTGATTTGGGTGCTGGTCCCAGGGTGTGTTCAGTCTTGACAATTCTGCACACTTAGAATTTGTGCACTTCTCAGAGTGCATGCTATACTTCAATAAAAATGACAGCAGCAATAGCCACAAACAAGGGTGTGGCTGTGGTGAACTGGGAATGCTTCTGCTCCTCAGAAAGGTCCTGACTGCCACTAGGGTACCCTGCAAGAGGACCCTACAAAATTTTATGGGGGTGACATCATTTCATCAGTGTGGCACCACCCACAAGACCTGAGAGAATTCTCAGAGGAGAAAGTAGGGAGGGTCTGCCTACTGCTTCTCTTCCCTGGGCTTGCCTAGAGTGGGCATGGGTGGCCCCAGATGCCAGGGTACCACACCTGGCAGCATCCTTGCCTCAGCCCAGGCTGGGCCGTGGCTACTGTGACTCCTCACAGCTCAGCCTTCCAGGGCTCTGGTCTACTGCTCTTGGACTGGGAAGGGGGCATATCCTCAGGGAGACCTTAAGGGTCACCTGCTCAAGGTAGGCTGGCCCATGTAACTGGGAAGCCATGGCCAGTGTCTGCCTGTCCAGGCTGCCCTACAGGGGGGGCTTGGGGAGCTGCATCAGTCATTACCTAGCAGCAGGAACACTTGAGTCCTCAGGCAGAACAGAGGTGAGATTTTAGGGCACAGGGCTGTTGAGGATTTGAGGCTATGGGCCAAAGAAGGACATAGGACTGCAATCACTGGGCCAGGAGCTGGTGGACCCTTTTTGCTCAGGGAGCACTAAAGGCCAAGTCCTGTATAAATTGGACAGTACAAGGGGCTGCTGCCAGGGTCGGAGACTTGTAGCTCATGGGATTGACTCAACTCTGCATTAAAAAAATCTTCATAGGCAAATCTGATGCAAAGCTAGGTATAGAGACCCTCATGGACAAGCATCACTCATTCATTCATTCAGCAAACATTTACTGGGTATTGTAGCCATGCTAGTTCCAGGTCAATACCAGGGTCTGGGAAGGCCAAAGAATACTGTCAGGCCTCGCCCTTATGGAGACCATAGTCTGGTGTCCAGGGACAGGCTGGCCTGTGACAGATAACCACAGTGCAGAGGGAAGACAGCAATGACAGGTTCTGGAGAACAGAGGAAGGGTAGAAGAACCCACTTGCGACTCTTTTTTGCAAAATACAATTTCTTCCCAATTCATTTGTTTCTCAGGTTTGAAGTTTTGTATTTTACATTCAGGTATATACAGTGGCTCAGGCCCAGCTCAATAACTGTTAAGTATTGTCTATAACTCCCTCTGAAAGAGGACCCACTATAGTAGTTTTCAAGCTGTTTTTAAAAATATTGAATGAGCTAGGAAAGACAAATAAGATAACTAGCTGTGTCTATTTCATAGTTTCTGCCATTAAAATAATCTAGAAGAGGCATAGCTATTTTGTACAATTTTGGGGGAATTAATTTAGCTTATCATATATAAAGGAATCCCTCAGATCAACCCCTGCCCCCATCACATACGAACACAATAACAAACACCAGCTAATTCTCTTCTTACTCTAGGTCTAGATTATGTGACATAAAATATAAAAGTAAAGTCAGTTCCTGGTCTGGGCACATAGGTAAGTGATGTATCAGCAAAATAGGCCTAAATGACTCCTTTTCTATAATTGAGGCTGTCTATGACCATCTAGCCTGGAATTTCCTGTTTAGTTGCCATGGTGGCCACTCTGAGAACACCCTGCTCCTTTTAGCAATACAGCAGGAGTATCCTTTTCATGGGAGTCCACTCTGAGCAGCCCCAGAAACAAAAGCCGCCGAAGGGGAGAGGCACCTTCAGCAAATAGGAGCATTACCTTGGTCCCATGGTAGAAGTCATCCACACACGTGGCGTTCATGAAGGTCTGGTGAAAGTGGGTGCTGGTGTCGATGCCCCCAGGGATCACCAGTTTTCCAGTGGCATCAATCACCTTGGCCCCTCCGGGGATCATGAGCTCACGGCCCACCTGCTGGATGATGCCATTCTCAATGTAGACGTCGGCCTCATGGGTGCAGTCATCATTTACCACCTTGCCTCCTTTGATGAGAATCCGCACGCTGGCTGAATTGGCAAGCATGTTTCTACGGAAGGCAAGAGAGAGGCACCAGTCAGGTCAAAGTCACTTTTCACTATAACCACAGTCCCACCTCTTCCTACTAGAGCTCAAACCATGGGCAGAGTACATGAGCAGGGATGGGGAGGAAGTCTCTCCACAGACTAAAGACACTGGTCCGACCACCAGCTGGGGTCACAAGCCTCCCACTGACCTCACAGTGGGACTCATTAGGAATAAAGACACAAAGGCAGTAAGGGTAAAGCTGGGGCCCAAAGAAACACCAAGTTTTACCTTCCTGAAATGTTTTATGTGCTCTGAAGCATTTTCATACCTGTCTCATTTTATTCCTGAAACAACCTGAAAAGTGGCATTTTACAGATGAAAAAGCTGAAATTTCTAAGGAATTTATGGCTACTAAGTAGCTGAGTCAAACCCAGATGTCTTACATGACTGATGTCCACAGGACACCACATGGTCCTGAAGATATCAGAGGCTCCTGGGGCGTGTCTTGCATTCTCCAAGTCTCACAGCTGTTTAATTCACATCATTCTTCAGATGGATTCCGCTTCAGTTCATCCCCCTGTGTTTGCCTCAAGAGGTCCACTACCACATTGAGCTCCACCGCTGGCTGAGCATTAATAAACTCACCTGAGGAGCTTTTGAAAAGCACCTGTTCTCAAGCCTCGCCCCTAAGAGTCAACTTTATTTAGTCCAGATTGGGTCCCCATAATCAACATTTTTAAAAGCTAGAGAACTTTACCATATGCTTAAAAAAGAATTAATATCAATCTCTTCCAGAAAATAGGAGGTGAGGAAATTTTCCCAACTCATTTTTTGAAGTCAGTATTGCTTAACTTAATACCAAAACCAGATAAAGGCAGTACAAAAAAAGAAAGTACAGAGTAGTATCCTTCATGAATATAGATGCAAAAATTCTTAACAAAACATTAGCTATTACCCACCATGTAAGTGGGATTTATTCCAGGGATGCAAGGCTGGCACAATATTTGAAAATCAACTGATATAATCCACCATACTAACAGGTTACAGAAGAAAAATCACAATCATATTAATTGTTCCAGAAAAAGCACTTGGTCCAGCAAGAATGTAATACATAAGATCAACATACAAAAAGCTATTGTTTTTCTATATGCTAGCAATGAACACATGTACATGCAAAAAAAAAATACTTAGGCATAAATCTAAGAAAACACACAGGATTTGCATGCTGAAAACTATGAAATGCTAATGAAAGAAATCAAAGATCTAAGCAAGTGGAAAGACATAACATGGTCATGAATTGGAAAATGCAACATAGTAAATATGTTAATTTTACTCAAATTGATATATATTTTGATAATTCAGTAAAAATCTTTTGTAAATAGAGGCAGGATTATTGCCCAAATTTACGGACTGACAAAGGAACTAGAATAGCTAAAATAATTTTGATGAAAAAGAATAAACTGGGGGAAATCAGTCTATGCGACTGCAAGAACTTATTACATAGTTACAGTAATCAAGACTTTGTGGCAGATGACTGGAAGGATAGACACATAAATCACTGGACCAAAAGAGAGACCCAGGAATAGCCCCACACAAGTATGGTCAGCTGATTTTTGACAAAGGTGCAAAAAGCAATTCAATGGAGGGAAAATGGTCTTTCCAATAAATGGAGCAACTGGATATCCACAGGCCCAAAATGAACCTTTCCTAAAACCTCAGATCTTACACAAAAATTAGCTCAAAGTGGATCATACACTAAGTGGCCACATTTGACACCACTGACCACTCCCTTCCTCTTGGAGGTTTGTTCTCTTAGCATTAACTGGGGCCAAGCAGTGGAGGGGGACAAGGATCACAGGACATCCTGACCACTGTTTTGGAGAGGACTACTTTGTTGATGAGCTGTGGTTGAAGACAAGTTTGTGGGAAGTACATACACAGCTGTCAAGACCTTTGTGAGTAAAAGAAGCCGGAAAATGGCCTGAGAAGCATGGTGGAGGGAAAACATCAATTTAGAGCAGAAGAAATAAGATTTTTCAAGCAGTAAGAAAGGAGTCAAAAGAAATATTAAAGTTGTAAGAGATCAAGGATTACTTATGATGAAGGTCTTGAAGGAGGTAGCATGGAATGATGATGGCCATTGATAATGGAAGGCCTTCCCCTTCCACAAGCTAAGTCCTCTGTCAATGTATGTGGTTTATTTGGATCATACACTAAGTTGCTCATACACTAAGAGGGTTGATTCTTCCAACCCTCTGAGGAAGGTATTATTATGCCCATCTCACAAAAGAGGAAACAGACTCAAGAAAGGTTAAGGTCAAAGGCCTGTAGGAAAGATGAGAACACAAAGGAATTTATGTTCTCTCTGCTCTGAAAAGCTGGAGGCTGATTTCCTGAGAGCAGTAAGGAGCAAGTGGCTGTGAGCAGAGAGTGGGAGGTGTGGAGGAGCCACTGCAGGGGCCTGAGAAGTGAAGCGTAGGGAGACTGCACAGGAGGAGTGGGTGCTGAGGGCAGCTCAGACAGCTGTGGTCATGGTGAGTTACCTGGAATTCCATCCAGGGAGCACACTTTGGATGGATCTGCAATTGTACTGACCCTCAGATATCTTAATAGAAATTATTTTCATTTAGACTTAGAAAATAAAGGACAAAGTCTTACTGCGGGAGGGAGATGACATCATTGCAGTGTCTCCCTGGGCTCAAATAAAGCCCACCTTTGTACTTGGGTAAACTTCTCCTCATTCTTTAGGACCCAATTCAATTGTTCTCTCTTCTGAGAAACCTTTCCTGACTCTCTGCATCTTCACAGACTTCAGGGTACTGGAGTCTGTCTCCACCGCTACACTGACTTCCTCAAAGTCAGAAGCCCATCAGTGATCATCATTTCTGCCCCCTTCATCCCCAGCACGCAGTATAGGTTACTCAAAACTGGGAATGAGTGAACGAAACATTTACTTGCACCGACACAATCCAAACGGTTTACAGCAACATTCTGTAGACGAACTGCATTGTTTGTTTTCTGCAGTATCCCAGAAAACTCAACTTTTGCCTCTTTTCCAATATAGAAATCACTGTGAGCAGAGCAAAAAATGTGATTTATGTTTCTCTCATCCTCATCATTTTATTTTGCCTGCCACAAGGCAAGTTGCAGAAAGGCTATGTCCCAGGATAAAAAGGCCTTGGAATCTGTTGAAGGAATGAATTTCCTTGTAAGGAAATAAGTCAGACACCTGCAGGGCTTAGCCTGCTCTCCTGGACACACGAGGTTAAAAAGTTTGTTTACTGTCAAGCTGATTAGGCTGGAGCACATGGAAAGTCAAGATCAAGAAAGTTTACAATGCCTACTCGCCCTCAGCCACCAGGCTCTCCTGCTTTTAGGAGAGGCTGGCTCTTTTGGGGGTGTGTGGGTTCTGCTGCAGGGACTGATGCTTGGAAACAAGACAGCCGGAGGGAGTCCTGTTCCCCATGAACATCTGCTCCACCAGGTGTCACCCCTGGGGAGAAGGGGCCCTCCCCTAGGGTGGAAGGCTCTCACAGAGAGGCAGTAGGGAGGGGTCAGGCTGGAGGATGGGAAGACTGGACAGTCACAGCCACAAGCCTATTGCCTGAAGCTGGGATGAAGCTAAACATGTTTCAGGAGATTTTTTTTGTCCTAAAATCTGAAAACTGGAGTTTTAATTTAATACATAATGACTAGGAAATGAGTTTGTTCTCAGGTGGTGGACACAATCATCACTCTGGCCTAAGGAATCCAGGAAAGCCCAAGCGATGAGATACTTCCCTCTCACTAGAAAGGCAAGACCAGGTGTAACCACAAAAGGAGAGACGTAGGTTCTCAGTTTGAATCAGAAGAGGGAAAAGATGATGGTGGTAGGGGTTACTGAAAGAAGACACACACTTAATCCTCTGTGCAAATACATAATCCTCACCTTTGAAAGCAGCTTTAAAGTAAGAGGAAAAATTAGAATATTTATACCAAGTAATTGCTGCATAGTCATTACATCAATGTTGTAAATGAGAATATTGATTTGCTTATTAACCTAGAACACATGCTCATAGCACACACCTGGAGGGTGGGGAGCCTGGCAAAGGAATGTGATAATGATTTATTGGGGATTCTTGTCTGAGCTTTGATGCTAGAATCAAAAGCCAACGGTGTCTTCTTCAATAGAAATAAGAGCAACAGCTCTTAGTCAGCTAACACCCCGTGCCAGGCACTTTACATGCATTAATTCACATAGCAACCACGAGAAGGAGGAACAAGGCAGGGATATTTGCCCAATTTAAGAGAAGGAAATAGAGATTTTGAAAATATCAGGTAGCCCATTAAAGGTCATATAACTCCGGGGGGAAGGATGGGTCTCAAATCCAGGCCTGACTTAAAGGAAAAGGTAATCAGAGTTAACTGGGTAGAAGACTTACAGGTGATTTTTATGTTCATCATAGCTTTCTATTTTTCAAACTATATACAATATATTTGTATTACCCTTCATAATCTAAAAATTATGTTAAGCTTTTTTTTTTTAACCTAAAATGAAGCAGAAGGAGTCCAGTGTGCCCCTCAGGTTCAGCAGCTCAGTTTTTCCCTGCATTTTCTCAGGGAGGAGGAGGCAGGGCTGCCAGCACCCGCTGTAACACTGGGGCCTTTTTCTAGAACCTGGGCTGCCCACCACTCAACCTGTCTTCTGCCATTTCCTTGTTGGAAATCCCTAAAGGCTAACCTGGCTCTGAAGGCTAGGCTCCCCTGGGTAATACTGGGGAGTCCTGGAAGCCCTCAGGTCTGGGGATCCCATTCACAGAGGCCTGGGCTAGTCCTGGAAGCCAGGCTAGACCGCACTCCTACGCCTACCTTAGAGGGGCCTCGCTCTCAGGACTTAGAGGACCTTGCTAATAACCTAACAGTTAGTGAACACCCAGTACCCAAGGGGCCCTTCACTACAGACCTTCATGAACATTATCTGCTGTGATCCTTACAATGCCCTCAGATGGGTGCCATTCGTGCCCTCATTTTTACCACAAAATG